TAAGGGTTGTCTCCTAAGCCCATCAAAAGGAGTGAATCTGTAAGAGGGTGGTTGGCCTTCGCCTATTGAAGGAAGGCTTCTAGTTGACGTCGGTGACCTCGTCGGTGGAGGAAGCCAAAAGTGGAGTAGGTCAAGATTGACCGAACCACTCTAAATCTCGGTTTGCATTTCCTTTGAGCATTTTACCTTTACTGCAAACTTTTCAATAGCTTACTGCCCTCTGCGATTTTACGAACGAGTTTCAACATTCAGACGTAAATCTACGTTTAGACGTAAATCTGCTTTTTCGTATGATCATCTTATTGCAGATTGCGTTTATGTTTTAAGCTTTACCAATACTGCACACTGCCTTTATACTCCTGCTTAAACTACGTCTTATCTAATCAATTGATTTACGAATCAGCATTTAGACGTAAATCAGTTTCTTCGTACGAACTTCGGATTTCAGTTTGCGCCGATATTCTGGTTTTCATCATAGCTGCAAACTGCCTGCTTAGTTTGACATTAACATTGATTAGTATCAACTTTCATACAAAAGTTGTTTTTATCGGTCGAACGCAGCTTTCGATTTTAATCGCTGAAAGTTTTCCACTGCACTAATTCACCCCCCCCCCCCCTCTTAGTGCTCTCGATCCTAACAGATATCTCTTGCCCCTATGGGTCTCAAGCTAACTCCCCCTTATCCTTATCAACATACTTTCTCGTAAAGTGGCAACTCCAATACCCATCAGCCTTGGCATCCTACCCTCACAAGCCAACAAAGAGTCGTTTGCCAGTTGTGTGATAAAATCGACCACTCCGCTAAAGTTTATCGATCTCGACCTCGACTTCCTGCTTCGTCACAATGTCCTTAGGTGAACCTCATGACTACACCAACTACTAGCCAACCCAATTGGATTGTGGACTCTAGCGCCTCTCATCACATCACCTCTGATCTTTAGAATTTGTTTATCTATAACAACTATGGTGGGAATGAAAATATCATCATTAGTGATGGTAAAAGACTTCCTATAACTCATACTGGTTTCACAACGCTTAATTCTGATACTACAACCTTTACACTTGATGTTGTTCTATGTACCCCTCATATTAAATGAAACCTTATTTTTGTTTCTAAATTTTGCAAACACAATAATACTTCAATTGAATTCTTTCCTGATTCATTTCTTATCAAGGACTTGAGCATGGGGGCATCTTTGGTCCAAGGCCTGAATAGAGGCAACATTTACGAATGGCCGTCAACTCCATAAATAACCCAGCCCACTGCTCACTCTTCAATTGCAGCTCCGATTGATGTGTGGTATCATCGTCTTGGTCATCCCTCATCTCTTATCCAGCAAAAATTACTTTCTTGTTACTCTCTTCCTATTTTTAAATCAAGTAGTTCTATAACGTATTGTGATGTATGTCTTAGTAATAAAAGTCATCGACAGCCCTTTGGCATATCTTCCATATCATGCTCTAAACCGTTTGAAATTATTTATACCGATGTTTGGGGCCCTGCTCCAATCATTTCTTTTGACAAATTCAGATTTTATGTCATTTTTATAGATTACTTCACTAAGTATACATGGTTCTATCCTCTTTACCATAAATATAAAGTATCCACAATCTTTACCAACTTTCGAAAGTTGGTCGAGAACTACTTTTAGTCTACCATCAAAATAGTTTACTCTGATGGTGGAGGTGAATATCAAGCCCTGTCATCCTATCTCTCAGCTTGTGATATACAACACCTCAAGTCACCCCCGCATACTCCTCAACTAGTTAGCTCTACCAAACGTAAACTTCTGCATATAGTTGAAACTGGCCTCACACTTCTACATCAGGCCTCCATGCTTTCTACTTTTTGGACAACAGCATTTCAAACTATAGTCTACCTTATTAATCGAATGCTTACGCCAGTCCTACAATACTAGTTCCCATTTGAAACACTGTTTTACAAACCTCCAAACATTCATATACTAAAGTATTTGACTATCTATATTATCCATGGTTACGTCCCTATGCCTCCATAAGATAACATCAAGATCTAAGCTTTGCATCTTTATAGGATATTATCTTAAACATAATGCTTTCCGATGTTATAATCCCCACACTCACAAAATCTTTATATCACGTCACGTTATTTTTGTTGAGTATCTTTTCTTCCTAAAACCGTAAGTCCCCTACCATGCGGACTACTCCAATAAACATTCCTCACTAGAGTATACCTCCTATCCAATCGGATGAGCCTCCTATGGCACCGTCCAATTCCTCTCCTCAAGATCCACACTCTACTATTCCTCTAGTTTAGTAATTGCCTATTCTCTCTATTACTACTCCACTCATTTCTTCTCAAATTGATGAGGTACTATGTTTAGAAACACAACCATTGTCTTTACCTTCTTCTAGACTAGGTGACACTGAGGTACCTCAACCTGACCCAGGTTGTGTCAATGACTCTCCACCGCTTATTCCAACAACACAATCTCACAATCCCAATGCCTCCAAATATCCCAAGAGTGATATTTTCAAACCACGTCAAGTCCTTGACCTACATGCTATCATAGAATCCTCATATAATACCATTGAACTCACTACCTTTACTAAGCACAAAAATCTCCACACTAGCGTAATGCCATGTGTGAGAAATATGATGCCCTCCTCCATAACTCAACATGAAATATAGTACTCTTTTATCATACATAAAACATCATCGGGTGTAAGTGGGTCTTTCGAACTAAGCGGAACCTAGATGGATCTGTTGCCTGATATAAAGCATGTCTCGTCACCAAAATATTTCATCAATGACCTAGAGTTGATTTCACTAAGACATTTAGTCCCGTTGTTAAGCCCACAATAATCTGACTTATCCTAAGTCTGGCTACCACTGAAAGCTGACAATTATGACAATTGGATATTAATAATATCTTTTTACATAGGACTCTAACTGAAGATGTTTTTATATAACAACCTCCTGGTTTCATTCATCCTCAATATCCAAGATATGTTTACAAACTTCAAAAAGCTATTTATAGACTTCCTCAGGCTCCAAGAGCCTGGTACACTGCACTTGGCTCATTGTTTACTTTAGTTGGCTTTATTAACTCCAATACCTCGTTATTTCTACGACAACAACTTGGAGGTACAATATATATTCTAATGTATGTGGATGACATTATTGTCACAGTCAATAATCCTATAGAGATCCAAGCATTCATCAAGTAATTGACAGATCGATTCTCTCTTAAAGATCTAGGAATCTTAAACTACTTTTTGGGCGTAGAAGCAACATATACACATCTTCAAGTCTCTTCATCTCACAAAGAAAGTACATTCAAAATTTATTATTAAAGACTAACATGTAGGATTTAAATGCAGTTACAACTCCCCTCTCTACTAGTGAATCTCTCAAATTATTTGATGGAAGTCCTACTACGAAACCCACTCAATACCGACAAGTAGTTGGCTCTTTACAGTACTTAGCTCTCACCCGTCTAGACATCTCATTTACCGTCAACAAATTATTACAATTTATGCAGCGGCCATCTACTATACACTGGTATGTAGTCAAACGAATCTTACGATATCTTAAAGGGACCCTCAATTATAGTCTCTTTCTCTATAAATACTCTCCACTTCATCTTCATACCTTTGCCGATTCTGATTGGGCAGGTAACTTTGATGATAGAACATCCATATCGGGGTATATTATCTTCCTTGGAGCTAATCCAATCAGTTTGAGTTCTAAGAAACAAAAGACAGTCGCACGGTCTACAACTGAAATTGAATACTGTACCATCGCCACTACATAACTCAATTAGGTCATAAATCTACTCAAGGAACTCAATATCAATTCCACTCCTATTTCTACAATATATTGTGATAATGTCGAAGCTATCTATCTATGCGTCAATCCGGTGTTCCACTCTCGCATAAAACATATTGCTATCGACTTCCACTTCGTGCGAGATCAAGTCATCCGATGTCAACTATGCATTTCTCATGTACATACGTCTGATCAATTAGCAAACTCACTCACAAAGCCTCTCGTTCGTAAACTCTTTGCATTACATCGGTCCAAGATTGGTATCCTTGATAGGAGTACCATCTTACAGGGACATGATAGCAAATAAGATTTCCTTAACTGTATAAGGAAATCTCACTACTCTATTGAGAGAAATCCTCCCTCCCGACCTCTATAAATAGGGAGAACATCTCAATGAGGAATATAGCTTCTTCTGTCATTTCTATCTTTTATCTTCTTCGTTTAATTTTTTACGATAAACCTTAAAAAAAAATAATAATTGAGGAAAATAGGACACAACCATAATTCATATTTTCAAATGGTATCTAACATTATCATAATCCTTGAAACACATAATTGAAGTACATATGTTATAGACCAATTTATGGAGTGAATCAATCAATTGTCACTATACTAGGAACAAATTTATAATATTTTTTTACACATTCATCAAAACACTATGAAATATATTAAAAAATTATAACTAAGGCTAATGGATTTAAAACTCAAATCATCTCATATATAACAATAGAGTTTCAAATATGTATCCTTAGTGGGCTTAGTAATAACAATTAATAAATAAATAGACTTTTATCTTAGTTTTAGTATTTTTAAATATGCTTATAGTTTTTTTTAAAAAAATACTAAAACCTATTTAAAAATAGTAATTGAGAAATTAGGCTTTTTGAGAAATATAATTACCGACTACTCCAATTATAAAGAGATTTTTGAGAAATATGAAAAAAAATCTCTTCGAGAAAATATAAAGAAAGGCTTTTCTGAAAATTCATCCAGTTAAATTAAAATAAAATATAACTTAATCAAATGTAGAATAGATATAAATGAAAATTATGTACTACAATTAATTTTGATGAATAATTAGTCGGCTTCAAAAGAAAAGGGGGGTAAAACTTCACCGTTATGTTGGGATTGTTTATGAAGTAAACAACTGCTTGGATTCCGACGTCAGAGATTTGTTTGCCCTCGCTATTCGCGTGATGTCATAAGATGTGATTTTGCTCGGAAACCCTGTCACCTGCCTCGTGAGAGACAGGCGAGGTCTCCTTCTAAGAAACTGCCCGTTTTTACTTACCTAATCGCGTACCTTTATTTTGATTAGTGATGGAAAATTTCTGTCCCACAGGATTCATCCAATGGTACCGCAGGTACGACTACGAGTTTAGGAGAATGAGGTAGTAAAAGTTTGGCCCTCTTGTCTCTCCAGAACGAACGAGAAATGGAGGGGCGCGAAATCTTTATCCTATCCCCCTCATCTATTTCTCCAGTCCGCTAAATTTCGCCGGTGACGATGGCGGCGCACGCGACGGCGGCCCACTCCCGTCTCCTCCTCCCACGCGTCATCTCCGCTCCCGGGGCGTCATCAAATCGGAGAGCCTCCGCGATCCGATGCGTGAGCGCGGCCCCGGAGGAGGACCAGAAGACGAGCGGCAGGGTCGCGACGGTGAAGAACAGCGGCGACTCGCTGATGATATGCCGCGTTCTCAACGGCATGTGGCAGACTAGCGGCGGGTGGGGCCGCATCGACCGCGACGACGCCGTCGAGGCCATGCTCCGCTATGCCGACGCTGGCTTGTCCACCTTCGACATGGCCGACCACTGTAAACCATCCCCTCATCCCCAATTTTCTAGATGTGAAATTTGCTCCATAAAGATCTAAATTAGTTCCTTCCATCTCAATAAATAGCTGCAACAGATGGGTAGGGTGATAGTTGTTGAGTAAAAATTGTATCTTGAGAGGGCTTTGGATTGGCAGATGGACCTGCAGAGGATTTATATGGCATTTTCATCAATAGAGTTCGCCGGGAGCGCCCTCCGGAGATGCTCGAGGAGGTCAGGGGGTAATTACACTCTCTCTCATTGCTATTTCTATCGAATTAGATGTATGACTGCATGTATTGGTAAGAAAATTAGGGCAAGTTATGCTTTCTCTCTGCAGTCTTATTGATTTCGAGTTGCATTCATTAATTCAAGTAATGGTCAAACAATTAAAGAGTAATATGATATTGTCAGCTAGTTAATTGACTCCATTCTGCAGCCAAATAAGATATTGGTGAGAAGAAAGTTCATTTAGCTAAGTTGTCTGTTACTTTAGAATCTATTTCTTATCACCAACCACTTATAATGTAGTGAAGCTTTGCAAGAGGCAGAACAATATATATGTTTAATGTAATGTCATATATTAGTATACTATATGAATTAATGTGCTCTTAGCGCTCCTTTTTCTAGTTACTTCAATATGTGTGCATCCACAATAGATATGTGTATTATGATACTGTGAGAAAATGGTTTCTGGATGATATGCACATAGGATTGATTTGCCACAGGCTCACCAAATGGGTGCCTCCTCCTGTCAAAATGACCAGCAACTACGTGCGAGAGAACATCAACGTCTCACGGAAGAGGATGGATGTCTCGTGTCTTGACATGCTTCAGTTCCACTGGTACTTGTTCTTTTTTCCACCTTGACCACTTCAGAAGTATCCTGATGTTATTAATCCAAACTAGTTGGGAAACTTTTATGTTACTATTTAGGAAGATTTTGGATTTTTGGGAGCAATGATTTGATTCACGTCCAAAATATTCAAGATACGCACTTGTTGCACTTGAAGTCCAGCCTTATTGTGCATTCTGCACTAGTTATTATCATTCAATAGTGGCTCTTATGGTCAATATTTATGTCACCCTTTTGGGATGCCTTATTTTCTTCATTTGACTAGCGGACATATCGTCTCTTTTGATTAGAAACTGTTGGTGTTTTATTCAACGGAGGGTTCATCGAATGAAAGTTGTTCTGTTGTTTCTTACTGCAAGCCGGTATTGTCTGATGTTGTTTTTGTAAGACAGGTGGGATTACTCCAATCCTGGTTACCTTGATGCCTTGAAACACATAACTGACCTGAAAGAAGAAGGTTGGAATAATCCTTGATGGTTTCATTACTGTTTTTGGGAATTTCAGATTCTCGAGTCAATCTACTTTGGTATGTCTGTCTGAAATCTCTCAACCTGAATGTGTTTCGACAATGAAAATTCTGCAGGTAAAATTAAAACCGTGGCTTTGACGAATTTTGATACCGAACGCTTGCATATAATTCTTGAAAATGGAATACCAGTAGTTAGCAACCAGGTAACAACTTCTTCACACGATTACAAAGAAGAAAAAGAGTAGCAAATTACTACTCATTTGTTCTATTTTATTCTCTCTCTCTCTTTATTTTTTGTCTATGTTCTTCTAGGTACAACATTCCGTGGTGGACATGCGCCCTCAGCAGAGAATGGCTGAACTGTGTCAGCTAACAGGCTTGAAACTTATAACGTCTCTCTCTCTTTCTCTCTCTCTCTCTCTCTCAGACACACAATTCGGATGCTAGATTTTTGTTACTTTTAAGGTGCAGATATGGGACTGTAATGGGTGGTCTCTTGTCGGAGAAATTTCTGGACGCCAATGTGTCGATTCCATTTGCTGGCCCTCCTTTGAACACCCCATCCTTGCAGAAGTACAAGAGGGTATGCTGTGCATATATGTTACTCTTGTTCAACTCTTAATGTGTAAACTGTTGGAAACATTTTCACTTGCATTTCTGATAGATGGTTGATGCGTGGGGAGGATGGAGTCTCTTCCAAGTTCTGCTTCAGACTATGAAGAAAGTGGCTTCCAAGCATGGAGTCTCAATTCCTACTGTTGCTGTGAAATACGTACTGAACCAGGTAATAACTTTCTAAACCTTTTACATGAACATTATTACCATGGATCAATTGATATATAACACTCGGATGTCAGATTTTGTTGGATTGGTGATTGATTTGTGTTGTTTTCTGATGTGTTCTGATGATTTGGGAGAGCAGCCATCAGTTGCTGGATCCATGGTGGGTGTTAGACTTGGCCTCTCGGAGCATATTAAGGACACAAACACCATATTCTCACTCGAGTTGGATGATGAAGACATGAACAGCATCACTGAAGTATCGAAGCAAGGAAGGGATTTGCTTAAAGTGATTGGTGACTGTGGTGATGAGTACAGACGAATATGAGCATATTTTGACTTGATTACATATTCGCGTGTACGGTCAAATTTATTGGATATGTTAAGCGCCAAGCTTCTATTTCTATAGAAATGTCGTGGACATCGACCCTATTTGGATCATGAATCGATGCAATTCTAAAGCAAAACTACACACACATTTTGGGAGTTGACCATAAGATACTGATACGGTATATGTTGGGCCCTAGCCATGTCACCATCGATGTCCCATCACGCCACCGCCAGGTCAGCAGGAGAAGCTCTCCCACGAGGCATTCCTCGGTACGTCCTGTCCCGGAAAGCTCGGGACAGCGTTGTTCCGCACTTCTGGGGCGGCAGCCGCGCGAAGGTACTTCCTCTCTCCCCCTCTCCCCTCCCCCGAAGATCGGTCGCCACGCGAAACCCACATACAATCGACCCTCGTATAGTAGTATAAGAACCTATGGTCGACATTTGGCTAGGAGAGAGGCGAAAAGATAGAGACCAAACGTTGACTTACTTGTCGAGGGGCCACAGTTGGTAACCACCCGACTGGTGCCTTCTGTGCAGGAAAATAGTTATGCCGAGGTAAGATCATCCCGATCGAGAGAGGCGTTTTTCCTCCCAACGCGTCAACCAGCATCCCAACAGAGAGCCACCAACCAGTGTCTTGATCAAGAGCCACCAACTAACATCTCGACGAAGAGACGTCAATCAATATTCGAGTGTCGATGCCCCGTCCTGAGAGCGTGACCGACCTCGGCAGACAACTCAGCCGATCGAAGACTCCCAACACTCGAGGACCGGGCCATGCTGACTCATTATCCATGGCGCATCAGTTCCCTCAACAGATATTATCATAGTCAACTGTTGCCAATGATAAATTCCAAGATTTGTATGACAAAATTCCAAATCCTCTTACCGTAATCAGGTTTATTTGTATACATATGTGTGTATTCCTTTGAAATTAGTGATTTATATATTTTGTTCTTTTAATATATATTCTTACAAAGTTTAAAACGGATATGCCATTGTAATTAATCTTTCATCAGTAGATCATTAATGTAAACATTAGAATTTAAATTGATATTAATAAACACTTCAAAAATATTACAAATAATTCATAAAATAATAAAAATATTTATGTATTTAAATTAACACCCTTGGTGAGCTATTTTATCCATTTACTCCTGCATAGCTAAGCCACTACTTTGGGTTTTGGGTTATGGGTTCAGTAAAACTTTGTTGACCTGAGATGGTTCACTACTGATTTAACATTTTAACTTTGTTTAGCAGACCTATAAAGTGGATGGTACAGTGTACAGTAAGTTACTATCAGGGCATTGATCTCGATGAAATATAATAATAATAATAACAAGTTGTTTTTTTTCTCACCTTTTTTTTTAATCTTTCTCTGTTCTTCCATGCATGGGCTGTTCTTCTTCTTCTGGTCTATCTCGTTCGTTGTCTTTTTCTTTGAAAAACATCATGTAAGTATATTGATATCTTTATAAAAAATAATTATTTCATGATGTACTTTAACTAAAGTCAATATGTTATAACCCATTTTATTGTTATATTGGTTCATTGATTTCAAAAAAATAATATTTTAAATTTTAAGAGTCTCAAAAATCCTATTCTTGAGAAAGTATTTTTAGTTCATGATCATATGTATTGATAGGTTGACATTAGATGATGTATCAAATGTGGGTGAAAGTCATTTACCAAATAGCTTAAGTTTTAGTACACTATCCATAGACTTAAATGATCCACTTGATTGTGATGAAGAAGATGATGATAGTAGTAATATTTTTAAAAAAAATTAATTGAAAAAAAGATTACAAGAAGAGGTTAAATATGACATAAACCCTAATATTATGATGTATTAGATGTTGTTGGTCAATGAATTATTTTAAGTGAGATTATGTATGATAATGTTGAACAAGAGTGTGCTGAATATGATTGTAGCTAAGATATTGTGTGTTGTTAAACATATCAGTTTCTTTCGCTAATTATTTATGTAATGATCAGTTTATTGGTTAAATACGGTACTTGAATGATATTAAAGTTATTATATTATATTATATATATATATATATATATATAATTATATAATTTTATAGCTCAAATAATATAGTTGTACATGTGTTTCGGTTGAATTTTAAAAAGCTTTGAAAGGCTATGTTATTGGAAGAAATTTTAAGATTAAACATATTACAACTACAAGTTATAAGATAAAAGCAAAATATAAAGTTTTCAATTGCCGATGAATGATAGGGTGGAATCGATAGCTTCCGAACTACCAAGTTTCATTAAGAGCATTGTAAATTGTCAAGATTGAATAAGGATCATTATAGTTCTTTCATTATAGATCAAATAAAAAATCTGTTATGATAAATGTTGATTATACTGTGATATTCAAAAAAGAATTAGAGTTATTATTTTGAAAGCTTATTTGTATAAGAGATTGTACTTAATGAGATTTATGGTCACTTTGATCGGTCATATATTAATATAATTTTATTTTTAAGAGAGTTAAAACTACATGACTACGAAACTCATGTCCAAACAGGAGTTTCATCAAAAATTTATTTTCAAAAAATATTTTAGAATATGTTTTTAGAATCGATACCGCACATCTATCAAACAAATATCATAGTACTTTGATGATGACTATAATTATTGATGGTTAAAATAGATTATTTTCAACTACTTTTACTGTGATAGAGATCGAGTGTAGGGGGGATTCATGAGAGTGGTTCTTGAGGGATGCAAAAATTTGACTATTATTAGTAATCAAAATCTAAAAATACTTTTGGTTGTGAAAGAGATCTTCCCAATATCATATCATGGTTATTGCATAATTTATTTATCTAAAAATCTTATGAGCGATATGTGAGATAGAGAGACTACAAAGCTATTTTGAACAGTTACTAGATCCTCTACTATGTATAAGCTTAATGAATATATACAAAGCTATTTTGAACTGTTACTAGATCCTCCACTATATATAAGGTTAATAAATGTATACAGAAAACTCTAAAAAAAGTTGGAGCAATGAGCTTGTATCTATTTCATTGTTCATCGTTATACAATACTCATGATATATGCATAAAAAGGTATGAATTCATTATTGAAGGATGTTTATGACTTACTTATTATCTTTATAATTGAAATGATTAGGAGGAAAGCTGCTAAATGATTCTATATCTATCATGAAATAGCTAATGGTCGATGCTACAATATCTTTCCTCATTCATACTAAATTACAAGTAAAAACATCCTCCAAGATAGTTATAGTAGATTTGGAAAAAATAAGTTTATATGGACGTCTTGACATTTTGAGAATTCTATTTTATTATGCTATGACTACTATTTGTTAGGATTAAGTTGCCACTAAGATTGGGGGAGAGTGAATTGGTGCTATCATAAAAACGTCGGTTCGAAAACTTTACAATGATTCAAAAATCTCATTCGATAAAAGTCGATATCGGAAATGAGCTTAACTTAGAATGCACGTTCGTAGCATAGTGAAAGTAGTAAGTAAGCATTTTACAATCAAAGTAAAGAGCTTAAAGTAAATGCAAATCAAGTTTTATAATGGTTCGGTTGTTGTGACCTACATCCACTCCTAATTCCTCTTCGCTCGAGGCCATCGGCTTCCTTCAATGGGCGAAAACCAACTATCCTCTTACAACTCTTTCTCTTTTTCACGGGTTCAGGAGAGAACCCTTATAAGCCTCAAACTTCTCTTGAATGATCTCAAAACTAGAAAGGGAAGAGGAGATCACTGACCAATTTTACAACTCAGAATAACAATCTCTTTTTGCTCTAATTCGTGCTTCTATATGAAGAAATAGTTGGGGTATTTATAGACCCCAAATGACTTCAAAAATGGAGCAAAAAAAGATCTCATCTCAGATTTCTAGGGTATTGGTGGTACCATCGCCTGTAATACCGCCCAATCTAGCAATATCACCGCCTAACACTGGGGAGTACTACTGCCTTACACAATCTTGGAGACTGTGTCTTAGAGACTGAGCCTCTAGCGATGCCACCGCTTGACTCAACTTTTGGGTCACTGAATGAACCTTTCTCTTGGCCTAAAACAGCCCCAATATAGGATCAATTGGCCCCTAATTGAGTTGGCCTAATTACAACCCAATTACAACTTAAAACTACTTCGATCTAGATAATTATTATAAAGCATTAATCACATGTTGTCCGACATGTCATTGGTTCATCGGCGCTTCATCCAATCCTTCGACGCATCGTCCTCTTTTATGGCATTTTCCTCGATCGGTATGTTGACATCCGCAACTCCGATCTTCTTGGCATAATGTCCGCTCTTTTAGGCCCAATGCCCAAACTCATAGCATGAAGCCTTCTACCAACATATCGATCGATCCTCCGGCTCTATATTTAATCTTCTGACATTTTTCACTCCGACCTAACATTGATTCTTCTTGCTTTAATTGTCTCTTCATGGTCGAAACTAGTCCTGTATCACTCAAAATGTGATCATAAACTCTATCAATTAGTTTCATCATCAAAATTTGAGATTCAACACTATTAGATATAAGAATAGTAATTCATACTCAATTTGTGAAGATTATTATAGAGCTAATACATACAACCTATAATGATAAAAAAAATTTCATGAGAAGCAAACAATATAGGATATGATGAGAATATAATTGTAGCGTATTACCTCTTAAAAATATGGTGCTATGTTAATAAAAGAAAGAAAACAAGAATTGAATCAACAACAAATTCGTGAATCATATAAATTCCCACCTCTATCATCATCTTGAGGGTAATGACAATAAAATACAAATATTGGTTAAAGAAACTTATTTTTAAAACATATTCTTAAAAATCAAATTGTAATTTTGAAGCAATGAAAACTTACTTTTAGTGATTTATTCATTTGTAGTTTAATATGTTTTAATTTGTTCTAACTGTTTGGTTGTCCAAAATTTGATGCAAGTTATATTGCAATTATAAATTTTAGTATATTCTCGGTTTTACAATAAATGCTCTATTTTATATGTTGAAACAAATCTAATAAATTTGAGATTGACTTTTGATGTTGAGATGTCTGTCTGGCCCAAATTTTTATCAGCTATTTTAGACCAATTTATAAGCTTAAATGTTAAAGAACATTGAATTGATCCATGATATTTATGTGAAAACGAGAAAAAATTGGCCAAGAATGAAAAATGACACATAATTCATAAAAAAATCTAAAAATTGTCTAAAATTAAAAACCAATGACATCTATCCAAATCTTTCCTAACATTTCAGGTTTATTAGAATCGCCCTATCTGATGCATTGTTTTTATATTTTAGATAAAAATAGTGCATCATATATTAGAAAATATTTTCTTTAGCCCAAATTTTTATCAGATATTTTGGACCAATTTAAAAACTCAAATGTCAAAAAATATTACATGAATCCATGATTTTTATTTATGTGGAAATGAAAAAAGTTGGTTAAAAATAAAAAAATGACAGACAGTTCATAAACTGAATAATTCATAAAAATATCAAATAAATTTCTTAAAATGGAAAACCAATGACATATCTATTTGAGTTCAATTTGAATATTTCCTAAAAGATTCAAGTCTATTCGAATAATATTTCTGGGATGCACTATCTTTGGATTTTAGGTAAACATAATATATCATATATTAGAAAATATTTTTTCTAGCCCAAATCTTTACCGGTTTCTTGAACTAATTTATAAGCTCAAATACCAAAAAAACATTATATCGATCCGTGATATTTATGTAGAAATGAAAAAAATTGGCCAAATAGGAAATGACATATAGTTCACCCTAAAAAATATATAAAAATAAAATAAAATAGAAACCAATGACATATGCCAATTTGGTCCAATGTAAATCTTTTCTAAAATTTTCAGATCTATTGAGCCAATTGTTCTATGTGATGCACTGTTTGGATTTTGGGAAAAAAAAAGTGCTTCACATTTTAAAAAAATTTTTAACTTAAATTTTTATTAGGTGTTTTGGACTAATTTATAAGCTCAAATGTCAAAAAACATTATACGGATCGATGATATTTATGTGAAAATGAGAAAAAATTGACCAAAAATAAAAAATGACACATGCTTCGTAAGCTAAATAATTCATAAAAATATCAAACACATTTTTTAAAATAAAAAAATTAATGACATAAGTCCATCTGGGTTCTATGCAATACAAGTCTTTTCTAAATATTTTAGGTCATTTGAATCAATTTTTCTATTCAATGCACTTGGGTTTTGAGCAAAAATAATATATCGCATATTAGAAAATATTTTATTTAGCCAAAATTTATATCAAGTGTTTTAGACCAATTTAAAAGTTCAAATATTAAAAAAACATTGCATTTATCCATGATATTTATACGGAAATAAGAAAAGTTGGCCAAAATTTTTTTTTGACACAGTTTAAAGCTAAATAATTCATAAAAATATAAAAAAAATTTAAAACTAAAAAACTAGCGACATATATTCATTTGAAATTGTTGTCCCTGTTTAGATGCTGAAGAATGCTCTGTTTTCCACAATATGTATTCATACACAGTAAGAAATACCTTTGAGAAATCCTCTATAATATCTCAAACTATTTATATCATTTTGACCAGAAATTAGGAAAAAACTTGGAGAATCATGAAAATGCTTTGTTTTCGACAACATATAGTCATACACAGTAGGATACATATTAGAAAAATGACCTATAATATCTCAAAACTCTGTTTACACATTTTATAAAATGTGTGATACATTTTGTTGATGTATACATACATTACAACAGATGCCCTTTTTGACATGTACAAAACTTATGTCATATGTATATTTTCAAAATATAAAAAATTTTCAGATATGTCAACCAACTTTTATAAAAACTATGAAGCATATTCTCTACAAAAATGTTAGTTGATTATGCAATTTGCATTCGAAACGCCTTCATAACGAATATAATATAATCATTTTTGGAATATACAAACCGCATTCAGCGTCTACCACTTTATAAGAGATTATTGATCGGCACTTAATACTATTAAATGAGAATGAAAGAAAGGAGTTGAGTCCCAAAATGAGACTGAGAGAAAGGAGTCTCATATAGAATATGTAATGTTATTCTAAGAAAAAGGACTCGAACTGGAACTCTAATGAAGTTCAACACTGGCTGTTACCTTGATTTCTCGTCGTTTAACCTATGGCTTACTCCCTAATATTCAATCAAAGTATATTGATGCCCTTACATCACTATCATTGTGATAATTCCACTGACATTGTGTCTACTTCAGCAATCTCATCTACTGTAATTTATCTGGTTAAACTGTTCATATTCCAGCATTTTAATTAAGTTGTATGTTCCTCATTCTTTTTAACTAATTGCATCAGTTGTTTTAGTAGACAGGTTTGATCGTTGATCAGTACTCGAAGTCCAAACCCGCTTCAGTTTGTTAGTCATGAATTCACTCACAAATTCTGAACATAATACTCACTCAGTAATTCTTGTCAGAGCATTCTCTTTCGAGAACATGTTGACTAACTGACGAAAGTGGATGCTGTAACAGTGGACAAACAACCAAATTGATAAGCTTAGACATTGCAAAACTAAGAAGAAATAAATAGATGATGTTACATTAAGATGGCAACTATCATCCAAGGAATTATGGAGTTTAGATGATTGATTGTTGAGGTAACAGAGGTGACGATCATAAAAGATACTTCTACTGGAAAAGAAAAAGATTTTTGTATTGGGAAAAAAAAAACGAGAATATTATATAATTATAAAATACTTTTTAGGAGTTTCAGATAAACATTTTATTCCTTTAAACTGATACCAGAAAACAAAGCTTTCAAAAATCCAGCAAGTCTTTTGAATCTTGACAATAAATTGAAAATGATCCACACATAGTAAGGCCTGAAACAAATATATGAAAAAGCAAATCAGTACAGAAGTTACTGACGAAAGTTCTTTTCCCCCTCTATCTAACGAGCACATGCATATTGTGATTTAGTCAAATGCTTACAAAGACTACACTTTTTCTTATTACTAAATGAAAAGACGAAAACAAAACTGAATATTTTGTCACAATTTACTAACCATGGTTTTCTGACAATTATTTTTATGAAGGTCTAAGATTCTTTGAAAAGATTTAGAGCCTTTAAAAGAAATAACTTGCTGCCACCTTCTCTGTCTCATGAATATAATTTTTGTACTTACTGTTGCTCTGGTGAATGGACTTGTATGCCACCAGTTTCAGAACAAGGTGCGATAGTAGGGAGTTTTTGAGTCACTCCACCGTGACTTGATGGTTGCATTTAGCAACTGGGAGTTTGACCCCATGAATACAAGCAACCCATTCCCCAACAATGAGGGCTCGGTTCACAAATGGCAGGGTTATAAAGATAAACTGGTTCAAGTGGAGTTACAACGCTATCTTGCGCAGAAACTTGCTTGGATACAATATCATGAGAGTCCAGAAGGTGGACACTTTTTCATGTGCGTGGATCATTGGGGTGATGCAATACTCAAGGCACTTCTTCATTCAGATGATACTTCAACCTAAAGCCACTTCGAGCACAGTGGCAATTTTAATATATCATGCATAGTTTTGTGCATTAGTATTTTATAAATCTTTGCTCTCAATTCAAATGACGAAATAGACAAACTGTTAGCAAATGCAGAGAAGTTACCCCTATAGCCTTGGGAATGAACAAAAGAAGATCAATTATCTTTTGAGTCAGGCACCTTAGATATAGAAGAAAACACATCAAAATTCAGAATTTGGTAGGTTCATTTTGAACTCATCTTTTACTTATAATTTATGCATGTTTATGCTGCTCTTGGAATTATGCATATGTCTTTCTTGCTCAAAGATTTATGCATATGATATTCTAACTAATGCTAGCAAGCTTGGATGAAGAACTTTGACAACAAACAAATTCAAATACTCATTAAAGATAGGGCTGCAAAAAGTGAATCTGTGTTTGCAAACCCTGGATTCATGTCTATTTGGAATTTGATTTTAATCAGGGGTTGCAATTCTCAATGACCTTGAAATTTTGAGTAGTTGTTCCTGTTAGTGTAAAATTCTGTACTCAAACGTGAGCACAACCAGGCCTCATACTTCAAGTACAACATATACTTAGAACTATGTAAATTGAATTTTGGGTGCTTATAATTTGTTAACTGTGTTTTCAATCTAGTCATAATACAAACTAAGATCTGACTCGATCCAACCCATTGTTAACTTGAGATCTAACGTGATTTACACAACCTGAGCCTGGTTGTGCTAGATATATGAGTTATTCAAACTGAGCCAAGCTGCTTAATTTGCAGCACAAAAATCACAAATATCGAACGGTAAAACGAATTTGTCCTGATGAAAGAGAAACAGGCACTTCGAAACAGGACAATAGGACCAAGATATGACTCAAAAGATTCAAAATTTGCAATTAAAATTACTCGTTTGATATACGATGCTACTACTTAATACAAGACTAATAACACTACTACTAAACTCTTTACTAATGCAAAATGATGAAATATGAAACGTCATTAAGTCGGTGCATCTCGATGATATTGGTAACAAACAACAAAGGACAATAGCAGCAGGTGTTTCTTCACAGAACCTTCCCATATAATTTACTTGGAAAAACTCAGTTTCAGAATGTTAAGTCTAATCCCTATTGCAAGATCCACTGGATATGAATTTGCTACATCATAGTCAAGCCTTTTAATAGGAGTCTTCTAGTGGTTTTAACATGGGTTTCACATCCAGTTTCATGCAGTTGTGGTCATCCGCTAATATTTAGTTAAAAGGAGGATACATGGATCAATCAAAAGTTCATACATGAACTAGCTATATCCAACAGCATACCCAGAAAGGACATAGCTGAATCACTTTCTGGTGGTAGATTACAGTGAAAGAGGGCCTTTGAAGTCGGAGAATAGCTTGTTAATTTGGTGCATCTGAACAAGTAGCCTACCTTAATTATTGTCGTCAAGTCCAACCATTTCCCTCAGGTCTTTGATAGATAATAGTAATTAGCTGCATACTAGGACATCATGTGCATGTGTCTACCAGTTTTGCTTCATCAAATGATTGGAAAAAAAATGTAAAATTAATGTGGAGACCCTAATTAAACAGAGTCAATGATAGAACATTTAAGATTCTGAACATGTTGCAATAACATCTATGCACGATAGAACTAAATCAATGTGGCTTTCTTTTGAACCGCTTATATACCTTGTATGCCCACGATTATAATTATCCGTTAGTGTCTTATATCATGAATCACAATAAGGTCAATTTTGAACAATTTAAAAAGCTTAACTTTCAATTGCTAACAAAGCCAAAAGAAACTTACAGACTCACAAAGCGCAGGCCAGTGAGATGTATCATTCACCAATTTCTATCATCAGAAGTCAACAATGCAAAGAAGCAATTAGAGAGATGTCTTCCACGATGTTCAGAATTGTTGTGGCTGCCGCCTGATTAGGAAAAGAACACCGAAGTTAGCGATCCATAAAATTAAAAAACCAGCAGTGTGTGTGCACCTCATGTAAAATCGGATATAATTAATTTCATGTCCAAGAAATCACGTCGACAACATCTATTAAGAACTATATTCGATACATGCAATATTTTGGAAAGTGTGAAGAAGACACTGCCCATGATTTTTCCTCCACGCACTCTGCAACTACTTTCTCTCTATTTCTTCTGTCTGATCGGCGGCTCCCGATGTTGGATGTGACTAAATTAAGCAGCAAAACCACTGGATTAAGACGCAGAAAAACGATCGTTTCCATTTAGCTGGAAAAATCATTTAAGAACCAAGTAGATCATAGATTACATTCATCAATAGCTAAAAAGGGTTTCGTTCCAGAGCATCACGCCATAATGAAATCGATCGATACTAGTCCCAAGAGATTATTTCCATTTAGCAGGAAAAATCACTCAAGAACCAAGTAGATCATAGATCACATTCATCAATAGCTGAAAAGGGTCACGTTCCAGACCATCACGCCGTAATGAAATCGATCGATATTACTCCCAAGAGATTACGGCAATAGAAATTTTCATCAGACAACTAAATGAATCGAAGACGAGTTGGGATATTACCTACGGCCACCTCGACGAAATAGATCTTCGTAATATGGAGCGGAGGGATCGAGCTGGCTAAAGCCGATCTCGAAGTGTTCTCCACAAGGGGATCGAAATATGCTGCGCGCCAGAGGCGGGCTTTTTGAATATTATACGCCTGAGGAATCCGATCGAGGAGTTTGTTAGCGACGGGAACCGTGGGATTCATCGATCATGATGATTCGGTAGTTCTTCACGCGTTTAAGAGTCACTTGCAATAAATTCCCCGTAAAAAAGAATTACCGTCTCTCTTGTAAGGAAGGATAGGCAGAGGATAAGATGAGTTAGTTAAAACCAATGACGTGAGGAAGTACATAAAGATTAAAAAAAATTCATTAAAAACAATAAATAGAAATTGAATTAGTGATTAAGACATGACTTGTTCTCAAATTATGGTTTGTCCCTGTAATTTTGCAGAATGAAAAGGATGCAATTATAGCAATTCTAGTATTTTTGTTCATGATCTTTCCCAAGCCTTGTGTAATTGATAACTGCTACCACCACTAAGTTTGGCAAGGAATTCTCGGTCCAAGAATAATACGTGGAGAACAAAATAACATGAATAATAGGTGTGGTGACATTGCCACACTGGGAGCATATTCTTCTAAATTCTTGCTAAAGAAAATGAAATTCTAATCGAATCGACGATGCATGTAGAAAATCTTAACATTCCATTATCATCCCAAGTCAGAAACAATCTGGTGGATGTGTCTATTTTTTCTGATTTTCCATCCCTTCAGAAGCAAATGTAGGATGTTCACTATCGGGCAATCATACACCACATGAAACTGCACGAGAATAGTGAAATGTCAGCGTTGAGCAGCACTTGCATCCTTGTGATCAGGGTGATAGATAGTTGGAGATTTGTTGATTGATATCCAGACCTACAACAAAGAAATCATGGCAACAAAAAAACTGCATGATACCTTGAAAGAGTTAAGGTCCCTTTTTGATGATGAAAACATGATAGAAATGTGAATCATGCATTTTCCAATAAACTCTTCAATAACAAGATTTTAGTCAACTTAGTATCCAATAATATGTTGGAACTAGGTCTTTGTAATTTTGATAAAACTATAAACAAGTAGCAGCAAACAACATTCCCTTTGTTGCTCATTTGGAGTCCTGCAGTTCAAAACACCTACCAGCTTAATTGATATCACTACATAAGATCATATTATAACAAATCAACCATTTTTGTAAATTTGGACACGTGAAAACAAAGGAGGCGAAAGAGAAAACAATGAAATTGAAAACTTCAAAATAAATAAACAAAATGATGGGTGGCTTTTGACTAAATGGATAAATATCAAATGGTCATCATTATTGAAATAAAAGTGATTAAACAGTCTCTACAGATTTGTATATACATTATTGGCATGACATCCATGTTATGTAATGCTTACCATGATGCATCATCCAAAAGGAGCCAGATGATTTTCTTATACAACATGATTATAACACCCTCATTTGTTAAAATGACCACATGATGTTAAAAGAATATTCTCAGAATGTACATTTGAAACAGACATCAAGGCTCAGTTCCATAAGGAAAGTGTCCAAGAAGTAAATAAATTTTCAAAAGAATGAATGAAATTAGTGACTAAGCTAATGTTTAACTTTATATATCCAATCTCTCACCAAGGGTGACGTTTCTACATAATGTGTTTAGGAGAAAATATTTTCAGCAATTACAAGTGGACATGAAGACACTATACCTACAATTTCATGCACCCGAGCTCAAGATAAACAAAAATCCAAACTCTTTCTGTGGCATACAATAAATTACTCGTACTCGAATTGCACATCAACATGAATATATTTCCTCATTAGACAAACTATAAATGAAGTAAAATTGGCCAACATCTGACGTTCTTCACGAGTTTTAGCCTCATTAAGAACACCATGAATGACTAATTTTTTGAGGTTCGGGCATCTTTCAATCATTCCAAAAACCCAGTGCCCAAAGTGCTCACTTATCACAGTCCATCCCAGTTCCAGTACTGCCACATTTCCCAATGATGAGGAGCCTCGCAAACCATAATGGAGCAACCCATCCCTTATTTCGTAACTCAATGAAAGATGCTTAAGCTGTGGGAAAGAAATAGCAATAGATTCTGAATCAATGATCTCATCCTCATCATCAAACACTACTCCCCAGAGCCTGAGTCTTCTCAATTTAGATGCTCTAGATATCATATGGTAGAATTTTGGCCATACAATCAGAAAGTTACTCACATCCACAACCTCCAAATGATCCATGCTCTCACCGATATCCAAATGAGTGACACTAACATCATCTATCTTCAAATGCCTAAGAGTACCCTTTCCAATTAGCTCAAAAAAATCAAGATTTAAGGCATTTAAGTTCAAGATCTCAAGATTATCTGCTTCCAAAATAATCTTATCGACACCTACTGATTTCG